CCTTCCCGGTGTGTAGAGACTTACCTGGTTATAGTTTCGGAAGATCGAGCACCGGTCTTGGACGACTAGTGCCCCCGAGGGGTCGCTAAAGGAAAGAGACTGAAAACCTGACTAGCTCGATGCACCAAGGTACGTCAATCTTCTAAACCTTGTCATCATATGTAGATTAATGATTGATATCGTGTGATCCACTATTCTGTCCCCGATGCTGGGATCTTGGGTGATGACCCATTCTATGAACGTTTATACAACAAATGGGGTGTCTGGTGCTGCAACAATTTACAGTTGTCTAAAAATATTAAATTGTGTTAGAAAGAATTACTGAAAATTAACCTACAATGGATTGTCAATCCAAAATTCTGCATAATCTGAAGTCGATAGGCAATTCCTGCAAGGGAAGAGAGGTGACGATTGTCGTCTGGTAAGTGGAGGCTTAGTGTCCAACGACTAGCTTGATGCTTAGTGGATAGGGGCGTGGTACCCAACGGCTGACGAATGACGGTCTGGTGGCCAGTACCAGATGACGGTCTGGTGACCAGTACCTCGTTGGGTCCAATGATCGCCCTTAACTTAGGAACCTCCTTAGGAATACAGACCTCATGGGATCTTGAGGGACATTGAACTCCTTGGACCTGAAGGCCTCGATACATTCTTGGGTGTAGAAGGCCACCCTGATTGCATGAACGGACGGAGTAATGAGACTCCGTTGCTAGAGATATCCTTAGTAGTAGAGGCTTTACTAATAGGTAGAGACCCCCTTGTTGGTGGTGATCTTCTTGATGGGTAGAGACTTACTCATTTATGTAGGTGCAGAAGGACCATGTCTTATTTTTCAACGACCAGGCCTTGGTAATTTGCTGTTGTCCGATATGAGATGGAGTCTGGTCTTAGACAACCAAACCTCAGTAGTGAGGGGACCAAGCATCGCTAGATGGAAAACACCATATTGGACGGCCTGGATCGACATGCCAAATTTTGATTATTGTCATCGTACACTGGGTGGCATCACGCAACCCACTGCTTTGCCCCCAGTATGATGGATGGGTAATCAAGATAGAGTCCTATCCTTATATAAGAACATGGAAACCCATTGTCAATTGATGACTTTGGGATGGTTTCCATGATCGGAAACTTTCGTCTTACCGTCCGAGCCAAGTCGCGTCGGGATAATTATTTCTTCAGAGAACTAATCGTTCCGACAGACGGCGCCAGCTGTTGATGCGAAAATCCTCACGACTCGGAATAACGGCGTTTACCTACAAAACAAAGTGACGTCACCTCGAATGGCACCGGTGGTGTGCCGGCCAAGGACCCTCAAACGATCAAGTTCGTATTTGTAATCGTATCATATAATAATTACGTATATTCTGTTTAGAAGTTTTTTCTCATACCTTCTTTAACAGCTTGGTGCCCTATTTATGGCTGTCGATCGTAATCAAATTGGTCCCGCTAGAGATTTACTTGTGTGAGATAAGAGGAGATCGTCTGTTGCCAGATTTGTCGGGGATATGCTTTGCTCCTTTGACTTTCTCAAATTATGCCAAGGTTATCCTCACCCTGTTGAATCACGTCGTCATTCATTATCCTAGATAAGAAATGTCATCATTCTTATCCGATGAAAATCTTTATCTCTGATAACGAAATATGTCGAAGAGGTTTGGCGGCTGGTTAAGGTAGGTTATTTTTCCCTATCAGTCTTGACTTGTTTGGATAATCCAAGTTTTTATGATAGTGGGGTTTTATTAATATACTATTGTATTGATATGAGTGAATTTTTCAATATATCCTTGTTAAGAGACAAAAATAGTATTTCGTAATTAGTGCACTTGTTTAGTCAAAAAGATAATTTAGAAATGTTATAAAAAATAGTACATCATTTTTGGAATAAGATCCCAAAATAAAAAAGATGGACAAGTATTTTAGAATAGAGGTAGTATTGTTTATCACTGTAGTGCAGAAACATGTAAAAACACAAAATTGGTGTTTTGATTTTTGGCTACCATTCATGAAACGTTTCGGCATTATGCAAAATAAACCACTGTTCGCTGCTACAATATTTGACAAAAACAAAATGCATACCAAACAGATCTTTACTCTTTTAAATCTAAATTATATAATTTTATATCATTTAAACTTTAAAAAACTAAGAACATTGCCTAATAATTTAGTCGGTAGAGTATCCAATTCCTCGAACGAATATATTCGCGTTTGAGTTTTCACTCCCCCTAAATAAAATAAAATAACTTAAAAAATCTTAGTAACCATCCAAATGCAAAAAGTTGGGCCCACATACAAACAGTGCTTGGGTCCTCCATTTAGGAGGATGAAGTTCATTCTCCATTTGATGTGGTATAGGTTAAACCCCCTTCTTCTTCTTCTTCTTCTTCTTTTTAAAACACGATCAGTACGAGCGGGACTCTCCTTTATTTTCCTTTGTCTCTCCACAACAAAGCCATTCTCTCTTCTTCTTTTCTTAATCTCATTGCAATACAAAATCTCCATATCCAACCTCCATCGAATATATATATATATATATATATATATATATATATATATATATAGTTTTCTATTATAGTGCTCCGTGTGAAATTATAAAGATTTTACACTTATTAAAGACTATATAGTTAGAGTTTTATAGACTCACCCTCAGGGTTTTGGAATGGAGACATCCACAAGCAGTGGAGGAAGGTGGCAGCGACTAGTAGTGCAGGATGAAGACTAGGGTTTCGAATGGAGGTTGAATATGAAGATGGAAAGAGACTTGTTTTGTTGCGAAGAGAGAGAAATAAGAAGATCGCGTTGTAGAAAAAAAAAAAAAAAAAAAAAAAGAAAAAAAAAAAACGGTTTAACTCGTAAAAAATGGGTAATGTCTATTTTTAATTTTATTTTTTAGACACATGTTCCAATGACGTTAAATCACGTCTGATGAAGAATGAACTTTATTCTCTTAGATAAAGGACCCAATCATTGTCTCCTACTAGATCCGTTCATAAAAATTAGAAACTACATAAAATTCAAAGCCACTGATTTTGCTTTTGATTCATAGAATTAAGTTTTAATAAAATTGTGCCGTGTCTTATCGTCAGTCAAAAATAATTTTTCTAATATAGACATGAAATGTGGATGTGAAGAAAGCCAAAATATATATCCCTTGCGAAAGTTCAAAGGAAAAAATCAATGATTTTTTTTTTTTTTTTTCTCTTATAATTATTAACAACAATTAGTGGTAGGAAAATAATATCCCATAAAAAAGTTCTCTTTGAAGAGGAAGTATTGTGTTTGTGTAACAAATGAAGAAAAAATATTTGTGTTCAAAACTTCAAGTACATGAAGAAAAATAAATCTTTTATAAATCATGGAATTTTTTTTTTTATGTGTTCAAGTACATGAAGAAAGATGCTTTGTCGGCAGAAGATGGATGATTTACCCTTTCTTTCCATGCCAGATGCCACCTTCTAGCTAGACTTGTATGGATCTGTGGGGGCCGCGGTATGAAATTTCAAAAAGATGATTTAACGGACTATGAATTTTTGACTGACTATTCCTTTTTTATGCATACATGCACCTGACCTGCACACACGGAGGGCTGCGCGGGCCTATTCGCTTCCAAAAAAACAAAAACAAATCTTTCCAACACACGGGCTCTTTTTCTTCAAATGTTCAAACCCCACTTGATGTGTGTATAATTCTCCTTAATCTAGTGTCTTCGGAAGGATATATATAACATTTTATATTTGAAAGATTAGACTCGTAACATTTAATTAGGTTAAAGTGATGGAAGGTTAAAAAAATAAAATAAAAAACTAGCTAACAAACAAGAAAAAGAAAAAGAAAAATATGTTGTCTCAATTTTGAAGATAGTTTGGATATACGGTCTTAGGTAGACCAATCTCTCATTGGAATTGGACAAGACTTATTGGTCTTTATAAAAGAAAAGTAGGTTGCCAGGGAAAAAGAGAAAAGGAAAAGTTGGACTTTACAACTATATATCATATCATTCCCAAAAAACATGCATTCACAAGGCTACTTAATTACGATGAATTAATTAAATTATAGTACCAAATATACTTCCAAACAGGTAGAAGCTAGAGTGAGTCTGCATTTACCGCCGGAGGGTGAAGGTAAGGGAAGAAAATAATTGGTAAAGGAAGAAATGTTTGGTTTGAAATTGAGGAATATATATAATATATATTAATTGAAAGGGATGGAGGCAAGGAGGAAGAAGAGGTCTTTGAATTTTTTTTTTTTTTAGTGTTTTTAATTACCATCATTCATAATTAAGCAGGAGGAAATTATAAAAGAATTAAATTATTAATAATTTATTCTATGCATATTTTTCTTTAATTATAATTTATAACGAAGGTAGATTATCTTATTTTACCCTTTATACTTACAAAACACGTACCATATCCTTTTGTCTTCTCTTTTTCAATAATCTTCTAGAAATAACATCTTATATATACAAATAAGATAGAAAGATTAATAATATTAATATCCTTTACTTTCTATTCTTTCCCATTTATATAAATATGAAAAATAGTGACATTACCCAATTTTGGTCTGCCGCAATAGGGTTTTAGCCTTTTAGGAAGATAGGGACCTTATTTTTTTATAGGTTTCATGTTTATGTTTTTTCCTCATTAATTGATTTAAACAGAAGAAACCTTTGACACTATCTTATTTAAATTTTCTCTTATCCTAAATTTTCACAATTTTCAGCCAAATAAACGGAAAACAAATTCTAACACTTTTCTGTGTATTGATATAACTTTCCAGGAAGATAATATTCACGAGTCCAATTAAGTAGTTTAGAAGATTCATATATGGCAACATTTGGCATGTATTTTGTAACCTTAAAACCATTTTAATTACTTGCCGTCTACGACACCTCTAGCTTTATATGTGTCTCCTATTGGAGCTATCTAAAATTTATAATTTATTATTAATTGTAGTTTACATTCCATTCTCCAAGCTACATATATATAGAGAGAGATATCGAGATAGAAGTACGGTTGGCATTAGGTTCAAGCCGCCTCACTTTCTCCATTGGACCATTATACATCGTACCTTTATAAGCAAAAAAAAATTCTACTATATATTTTATATCTTAAATATATATTTGTGGAGATGGAGAATTATGCTATGCTATTTCCTTGTGAACCATTATCATCTTCTACTTTCGCATCATCAGACATGTTGCAGGGAAGTACATCTGATGATCATGTTGTTGGTATTAATGGCAATCAGCTTTATAATAACAAGTCAAACGGGTTCCTGGCATTGAAGACAGAGATTGATCATGCAGTTCCCACATCAATATCACAAGTTAAAGATCTTCCTAATAGTAACAGTAACAGTACTAGAAGATTTCATGAAGTCGATGACAACGAGGCCGCAAAGTCTGCTTCAGGTAAGAAGATGATGAAGAAGAAGGGGGAGAAGAAAATTAGGAAGCCCAGATTTGCATTTCAAACAAGAAGCCAGGTTGATATACTTGATGATGGTTATCGCTGGAGAAAATATGGCCAAAAATCTGTCAAGAACAACAATTTTCCGAGGTGATCGATCTATCCATCAGTGGAATTAATTATCTAATTCATATATAGCTTTTCTAATTCAAGTAGCCTTTCTTTTATTTATATATATATGTGTGTGTGTGTGGCAAACGTGATCCATATATCTTGATGCATCCTAAGTAGATAGAATTGTATCCATTTGTTCATATCCATCTTGATGCATCACTAGACCCCACCATTATCCTTATCGGTTCGACTTTGTTGAAAAGCCCAAAAAAAGAAAAAAAAAGACCACTTTAATCACCTATTTGATGTAGAAATGTTGTTGCTTCCAAACTAGGGTTATTGATCCTAGCTAGTTATATAAACTGTAGTATATATTAATTGCATGCATGCATGCTTTCCATGGACGATATATGCATGGAAGTTATATCCTTTTTTGCATGCCAGATGTCAAATATAATTATATAACAGCTCCTTCTTATTTCTTATTGCTTTGTGAGTACCTTATAAGCATCATTGGTTATGGATCATATAGACTTGAGTAGGCATTACATCCAATATATATCACAGTCACCATATAGACAATCTTTGCCTTATCGATCTCCATATATTTTTCTTCCGGTTAGTGTCGATCTTGTGTATGTCCAGGGGCACTTGCCCCTGGCTCCGCCCACTATACATATATTTTTTATATATATATGGAATTTTTTATGGAATGCGCACCCTAAAATTATTCCTTATTTAGTTTTTTTTTTTTTTTTCTTCCTAATTTACTCTTCAAATTCTTTAAAAATAGTTAAATTTTCCTTATTAAATTAAATTTTAATTTTTTCCTTTTTAAGTTGTCATTTTTCTTACACTTTACTATTTTTTTTTTTCTACTCCTTCAAATAATTTTTTTTTCTTAACACTGTACCCCCTAAACTAAAATCCTGACTACGCCCCTGGTACCTATGCACACGTACATTGAATTTGTAGGCACACCTACATGGGACTGCTGACAACAATTCCATGTTATCCATAATTATATTGAAGAACAGATTAATTAATTCTTCTAAACACAAGTTTTTTGTACAATTAATTCACCTACATGTGTATAAATTCAAGACAATCGGGGCCGTACGTACGTAATTATTCATGTATAAGTTTTATAGACATGTTATATATCTGTTGGCTAGCTCCATGTATTTCAATGGCATCGGCTCAGGTGCATATCATATTAGTTCAGGTAATTAACATGAACCATATGTTCCATATTTCGTTTTTCAACGTCTTGAACCAAATACTGTTGGTTAATTTACAATTCGAGCATGATGTTATTTTATTGTAATTTATGTAAATGGTCATTTTTTTATGTTTATGAAGTTGTGACCCGAATTTTATTTTCGCTTTGACCTGTTTATGACCCAAAAATGTACTTTCGTTGGACTACTTTCTCTTGCAGGGTTGTAGACTCTTTTGTAGGGCATTTAGGGTTTGTGATTGAGAGATCCAGGGGGGGTGGGGTTTGGGAACCGAAACTTGTAATCTTTTTGTTTTTGGCATAGCTAGCTAAAATTTTTAGCTAAATCTTTTCTAAGTAGGCTTTACACTGAACTATACTTAAATATTAGTATGTGGTGTATGTATATTGTTCCGTCAATTTCTTGATTTGCGTATTTGTCTTGGTATGTGGTGTTGATTTGCGGTGTTTGTGGGAACATGTTCATGCAAGCTGTGAGGCACGGATCTAGAAGTCAATTGCCCTGATTGAAGTATATATATATATATATTTTCCTATTTTATATCTACTTTTTTTTTTTTCCCTGAATTATATACCTATAAAATTTGAAAATTGCTCCCATTTAAATTACAAAAAAAATCTACTATTACCCCCACCTCATGGTTTGAAATTTTTTATCTTTTTGTTGTTAAAGATCTCGTCCCACTCACATAATTTTCTGGATCCATCCCAGCACACTAATATATATATATATATATATATGTGCATTCATGTTGATATTTGGAAAGAAAAAAAAAAGAAAGACTCTGGGTTTTGTTGTTTGCAGAAGCTACTATCGGTGTACTTATCAAGGGTGCAATGTAAAGAAGCAAGTGCAACGCCACTCCGAAGATGAAGGCATTGTGGTGACAACTTATGAAGGGTTGCACACACATCCAATAGACAAGCCTACTGACAACTTTGAACAAATCTTGAGTCAGATGCAAATTTACCCTCCTTTTTGAAGTTTTGAATATATATATATATATATTGGATGCTTTTGTAAAGGATATAAAATTTGTAGTTACTACTTAAATTTGTTGTGGTATCTAGGTCGATTCCACGCCATGCCTTTGCTAACACAAGACCAACATGCAATATGAGGATTGCGGTGATGCGGTTAGATTGAGACTTTACCCCAGTTTATGCTTTAGCTAATAGCTACTATATATGTATATTTTTTCTCTATATATATTCTCTACATTGCTTGTCCACGTACATGATGTCATGAACATATGTAATAATTTATCTTTAGTTTGTATAATAGGCTTGTGCGTCCTTCATGGCTCTCGCTTGGGGTTGAATCAAAACTTCATAGAAAGCCAATCAGTGTGGGCTGGTCCAGTGGGAGAAGTTCCGGATTATAATACATCAACAACATTATCTATATAATGGGCCTAAATTTTGATTCGGTCCATTGTATAATACAATCGTGCAAGCCTAATTAAGGGTAAAGTGAACTAAATCCCCTAAACTTTCTTTTCTTTCTCAATAAACCCTCTTGAACTTTAAAGAATACATTTAACCCTCTAAATTATTTTATTTATTGCAAATAGTCAAACTTTGTTAGTTTGTCGTCTGATAATTAACGGTGAGTTAAGGCATGTGATCCATGTGTGTTTGTAAAGATTTAAAATACCATATATACCCTTACAACTATTATATATTCGAACCAGAGAACCCCAAAATACAAAATCCAAAGGTAATGTTTGGTAGGATGTGTTTGAAGGGAAATGAAAACATTAGTTATGAGGGAAAGGGAAGAAAAAGGAAGGAAATGATAATTTTAATTTCGTATTGTGTTTAGTTGATTAATGAAAGAAAAGAAAGGAAATGATAATAATCATGTTTGGGAAAAGAAAAGAAAGAGAATTATTTTAATAAATTGACTACTATACCCTTTTGTATTTTAAAAGATATATATATATATATATATTGTCTCCTAACAGGCCCACAAGAAAAGAAAAAAAAAAAAGTTAGGGCAAATCATTTCAGCCTCCCCAATCTCGCCTCCATATTCTCGTTCTCAACTCTTTTATATATATATATATATATATATATATATATATATATATATATATATATATTGTCTCCTAGCAGGCCTACAAGAAAAGAAAAAAAAAAAAAAAAAATTAGTGCAAATCATTTTAGCCTCCCCAATCTCGCCTCCATCTCCATTTTCGTTCTCAACTCTGAACTTGCCCCTCTCTCTCTCTCTCTTTCTCCCTTTTTCTGCACTACAAGATTCAGAAGTTCGAAACCCATATATTTCAGTTTATCTATCTGTCTGCAAGAATCAAAAGTTCAAAACCCGTATCAGTATATTGAAGATACAAGAAATTCCTTCCCTCTTTCTCTCTCTAGAATTCTTGTATCTCAACCAAAAAAATATCTCCCCTTTCTTTCCATTACTTCTCCTATTTATAGATATTTACAAATGTTGATGGACTGCTAGATCTAGGCCCGTTCCTCCATGAATCCTGGTCATCTTTGATGGGCTTATTCGCGTTCGGCCCATATGGCAGTGTCTTTCTATGGGCCTGACCCATCTGTACGGACCGAATGTCGCGTTTGCAAGTCATATCCGGCCCATGTCATCTCGGACCTCCTCAACTGCCCCCATAATTACCCCTTGTTTAATAAGGGGGTAATTATTGAAGGCGTCTCATCATGACGTTGACGGCTCGAGAAACCCACATGGGGGAACGGACGGTCAGATCCAGAATCAATGTTCCGGGGCTCGATGAATTTCTCGCCTTCCTGACGCTTCGGCCTTCGGGTCCCCCTCGCCTTTATAAGGCTCTAGAATACCACTTCATGCCTTTTTACCGTCTCCGTCATCAGTCAAATCTCTCTCTTTTTAGAACAGTGCTAAGCTTTTTCCGGTGAAATCCTTCAAGAGTCATTCTTCCAGCGGTCTTGCAGTGCTCTTTGTTGCTTTCTACCTCAGAGGTTAGTTTTGTTCCTTTTTACTTTCGGCAGGCTTCTTTTTACCCTTTTAGATCCTTCAAACATTTCCACCATGGTTGTAGATCTAGATGTTCTTCGTATGAGACTTAGACTTCCTGACAACATCCAAGTTAGGGTTTGCCCTAAAGATGTTAATATTATGACCGATGCCGGCCTCCTTCCCGGCGAAGTTTTATTTTCAAACCTTCAACTGAATGTCGTTAGGTTCCCTCTGCACCCCTTCTTTAATTATGTCTTCAATAGACTGGGGATATCCCCCCTGCAGGTAAACCCCAATTTCTTTAGAATCATATCCGTTATGCTACTGTTGATTCGTGACAGAAGTCTGGACCTTGACCTCATAGATCTTCTTCTGTGTTATAAGGTCAATAAGATCCGAACTAACGAGCCCTTCTACCACCTCTACCCGATCGACAAGATGTCCATATGTACGGACACAATCAAATCTGAAAAGGGTTGGAGGGATAACATCGTGGGCATTAGTGGGGCTTGGTTTTCGCCGGCTGCAGAGGATTACCCAATCCCGAGCGCCTTTGGCGTCTGTTCTGTTTCCTCATATAAGAAATTCAAATCTCACAAAAACGATTGTCCCTGCGAACCATGTGTTCCTCGCTTTTGTACTTTCTTATGCCGCTCCTTAGGAATACCTTGTGATGACTTGAGCTACAGTGTTTGCAGGGATAGGAGTAATTACTTGAAGAAATACGTTCTGAACGATATTCATTCCTGCTCAGACCTCCTCACTTCAGACAACCTTCTAGCGCTCTCATCCCTCGGCTATACCATGAGCAGGCTTCAGATTCCATCCTTTGGCAGGAAGAAAAATACTCTCCCAGCCACTTCTGCTGCTGGGGCAACCTCCTCTCCTGTATCAGCCTTTTCCTCAACCACCATTTCTGACACCATCCCGAGCACGGTGGCTATTGATTCTGTTGTCAGCACCCCTGCTACCAACCCGAGCGCGTCTCCACAAATCACTACAGCCCCTGCTGCCGCTGGGGGCGCTCGGGACAAAGAACGAGGCAAAAGGCCTCATCTTGACAGTGGAGTCGACCCTGAGGAGGAACCTCTTATAAGAAGGACCCGGGTCTCTGGGCCGGGTGCTCTCTTGCACCGCCCAGTCAGAGCTCCTGCCCCCTCCGGGCCTGTTGCAGCTGGTGCCTCTGCTTCTGCTTCAGCCTCCCTTTCTCTTCCCACTTTACCACCATGGGCTCCTCGGTACACCCGAACGGATGGGACGTTCGTGAAGCCGAACGAGACCATGCTAAAGGATGGCCAGACCGCCATGGCGTATTATAGGAGCATGTGGACTCCGAAAGACCTTGAGGCGGTGAAAGGTCTATCCCAGAAGGATGTGTTCAGCCGCTTTCCCCAATCTGCCATAGAGGTGACTTTTATTTTCCAACTCATGAATCCTCTCATATTATTTGATCTTGCCTTCGTCCGACCAGACTATCGGTTTAACCATTATTAATGTATATCTATGCAGACTTTGTTCGGAATGATGGCTATGCAGAAGTAGGTTGAAATGGGGAACGCCAGGGCTCGTAAGTTTTTTGATAGCCTGGAGGTGGCCAATAAGGAAAACGACCTTCTCGCCAGCAAGAATACCGAGGTATTGGCTCGGCTTGAAAAAACCGAACAAGAAAGAGATGTCTTGAAAAAGGAAAACGACTCTCTTCAGGACGAGAAGGATGCCTTCCAGCTTGAAAAGAGTGTCTGGCAGACTGAGCGTGATTCAATCAGAGACGAAAAGGCAGAGCTCCAGCGCCTTCTGGCTGATGAACAGTCTGCTCGGATGGCTTTTGAGAAGAGAGCTCTGGACGAGCGTACTGCTCTGATTGATACCATCAGCAGAGTGAACGGTGGGATGCTGGCTCTTCATGCTCGGTTCTCAAGGGTCAGCGCTCTTAGATATGCTCAAGGATTCTGAGAAGGTTTCTCCGACCGAGTTCTGGATGAGGGACAGACCAGCTCAACTCCAGATGAGGTCGATAAGGATTTAGGGATTGACCCTCTGGGGGTCTATGTTGACCCAGAACCCACCGAAGCGGAGCACATATTTGATGAATGCCAGGACATTGCTTCCTCTAGGATCACTACAACTCCTCCTACCGCTTTGCCTCTAACCGCTCCTCAATCGTCAACTGTGGTATCTCCCATAGCCACTGCTGACGTTGGTCCCCAGCAGAATGACTCTGTTATTCATCTTGATTCCCCACCTCGTGAGGGTGAGATGGCTGATGGGACTGAGGAGGCGGACCGGCACAACCAGGAGGCTGTCGGTACTGGGGCAGCTAGCTAGGACTCCTCCGGACTCTCCGATTCTATACTTTTTTGTAACAATGTGACTTGAATACTTCATTTTTTTTTTTTTGTAAATCCAATGCTTATCATGAATGAGATGACAGAACTCTTTTTCTCTTTTTCCTTTGTGTTACGCTCTGTTCAAACCCATTTTCAATATATATATACCTTTTCTCTTTCTTTTTTTTTTTTTTTTTTTTTTTTTTTTTTTTTTTTTTGTATTAACTTTGTCGCGTGCTTGTTTATGGCAAGTGCTTGGCGTTCGACTTGTGGTGCCAGCTGCCACTTATCTTGCTTAAGTGCCTGGCGCTCGGCTAGAATGCCACTTGCCACTTGGCTTTCCATCTTTTTAGCAAGTGTCTGGCGTTCGGTTTATGGTGCCAGCTGCCACTTATCTTGCTTAAGTGCCTGGTGCTCGGCTAGAATGCCACTTGCCACTTGGCTTTTCATTTTTTAGCAAGTGTCTAGCGTTCGGCTTATGGTGCCAGCTGCCACTTATCTTGCTTAAGTGCCTGGCGCTCGGCTAGAATGCCACTTGCCACTTGGCTTTTCATTTTTTAGCAAGTGTCTGGCGTTCGGCTTATGGTGCCAGCTGCCACTTATCTTGCTTAAGTGCCTGGCGCTCGGAATGCCACTTGCCACTTGGGTTTTCATTTTTTAGCAAGTGCTTGGCGTTCGGCTTATGGTGCCAGCTGCCACTTATCTTGCTTAAGTGCCTGGCGCTCGGCTAGAATGCCACTTGCCACTTGGCTTTTCATTTTTTAGCAAGTGTCTGGCGTTTGACTTATGGTTCCAGCTGCCACTTATCTTGCTTAAGTGCCTGGCGCTCGGCTAGAATGCCATTTGCCACTTGGGTTTTCATTTTTTAACAAGTGCTTGGCGTTCAGCTTATGGTGCCAGCTGCCACTTATCTTGCTTAAGTGTCTGGCGCTCGGTT